CTCTGGAGACCCCAACTGGTTCCCTAAGAAATCCAAGGAGACCCCTCGTAAATTTATCAGACAACTTTAGTTAATGCAAGAGAGAAAGAAAGTGACTGGGTTTCAGATGGTCACCAACTATGGGGCACCTCAGGCAGACATGACTGGCTATGGGATGTGACATCAGATTCTCCGATCCCACCCACACTGGCCCTGTCCTCCCGTGAATGTTAATATATGTATACATGTATTTAGCCTATAACATTTTGAGAGCCCTGAGCTCTCCAGCTCCACCCTGAGGCATGGGGCCTGGGCTGCCCTGTCCCCTCTAGAGGTACAGCCCCTCCCCCTGTGCTTGATGATATAGTTCCTTCTCCAAACCCACCAAAACTGTGTCAACGTAGATCATCTTTTCCTCTGGAAAATTTCCAGAGGAAAAATTTCCAGGCCTCCCTCCACCCCCATACTTCTTCTCTTTCCCTCTGTCATTTCCCCTTAAGCCCCCTGCTCTGTGCTTTCATCTATTCATTGGCTGGGGTGAGAATTACTGCCTCTGGACTACCAGTCCCAAGAATATCTCACCCACACCCATGGCCATGGGGATGTAATTAACAGGGAGGGGCGAGTGGTGACCTCCCCACTGAACTACATGCACACCATCCTAGGAAACTTGTCCTGCAGCGGCCCTTTCTGCTTCTCTTCCCTATCCTCATGGGGTGGAGTGAGGGACAGAAGAGGAAGGATGCTTACTATGGGCCAGGGCTTGAAGAATCTGAGTTGAATGATTGAAATAATCTTCCAATTTAAATAAATATATAAAAATAAAATATGTAGTTTGGGAATGTGTTCAAATATTAGCAGCTATAAACTCCACAAAGAGCAATATACACATAAGACCTTATATCCTGTTTGTGGAAACTCACAGTAATCACAAAGCAGAAATACAGTAAAAGCATGAGAAGATGAAAAAGCACCTAAACACACCACTAAATAAAAACATCAAATCTCAAAGGAAAAGGGTGGTGGTGGGCATGGTGATATATATGCAGTGCTGAGATGAGAAAAATGTACTCCTGGAAGCTATACAATGCTTTGAATTAATGTTACCTCAATTAAAAAAAAAAGAAGAAATATCCTATGATCCAGCTATGTCACTTGCATGTATTCAAAGAATACGAAAATATAATTCAAAGAGATATATGCATACTCTTATTCACTGCAGCTTTATTCACATTATTCAAGAGCTGGAAACAACTTATATGCCCATCAACAGATAAGAGCATAAAAAACAGGTGGTGGTGGTATATGTATATATATTCATAAAATGGAATACTACATTGTTATTTTTTTTAAAAAGATGAAATACTTCAATCTGCAATAACATGGATGGACCTAGAGGGTTTAGTGAAACAAGTTACAGAAAGAAAAACACTAAGATTCATATGTGGTAGATAAAGAAACAAAATATATGAATTAAATAAATAAAACAAAAACAAACTTTTAGACTGTAAGAACAAAATAGAAGTTACCTGAAGGAATGGGGGGAAAGAGATTAATAAATTGGGTAAATGAGCTCTATTGTACAGTGATGGATAAAAGTGAAAATTATGATGGTGAACAAAATGTAATATATACAGATGTTGATTTACGAGACTATATACCTGAAACCTATGTTGTGATCTAATATTACTTCAATAATAAAATAAAATGCAGAGAAAAAATAATGTCCAAACCACCCAAAGTCACTTATGAATTCTTCACAGTCCCCATCAACATCCCAATGGCACGCTCACAGAAATAGAATAACAAACCTAAAATTTATATAGCACTAAAAAAGATCCCAAATAGCCAAAACACTCATGAGAAAGAAGAATAAGCCAGGAGCTTTTACACTTCCTTCTTTCAAACTATTCTACAAAGCTACAGTAACTAAAGTCTGGTAATGGCATACAGAATAAAGAGCCCAGAAATAAATCCATGTTTAGTCAACTAATATTTGACAAGGGAACTAAGAATACTTACTAGGAAACAGTAGTTTCTTCAACAAACGGTATTGAAAAGAGTGGATAACCACATGCAGGAAAATGATATTGGACCCCTTATCTTATACTTACAAATGAAATTCAAAACAGATTTAAAAGACATGAACAGGGCCTCCCCGGGGGCGCAGCAGGTTGAGCTCAGCGCTGTGAAGCTGTCTGCAGCCTCTGCAGCGTGGGTTTGATTCCCAGCCAGCCAGGGAGATTCCTACATGGCGTGGCAGACCTCTCCTGTCTTACCACGCTGCTTCCCTCAGCAGTATATTTCAGTCCTTTCTTCTGCCTGTTCTGCTCCCTGCTCTGTCTCTGGTGAATTCTCTCACCCTCCCACACCTCTGACTTGTACCCCAGTGCTTGTACAAATAAATGAATCTTTAAAAAAAAAAAAAAAGCATGAACAGAAGACCTAATATTATAAAACTCCTAGAAGAAAAAACATCAGTAAAAGTTCCTTGATGTTGGTCTTGGCAATGATTTTCTGGATATGCCATCAAAAGCAAAAGAAACAAAAGCAAAAATCAACGAGTGGATCTATATCAAACTGTAAAGCTTCTGCACATACAAACAAACATGAATATATTAAATGAAAAGGCAACCTACAGACTAGGAGAAAACATTTGCAAACCATAAATCAGATAAAGGGTTAATATCCAAAATATATAAGGAATTCATACAATTCAATAAAAACAACAAAATTTAATTAAAAAGCAGGCAAAGAAACGAAGTATTTTTCCAAATAAGACATCAAAATGGTCAACAGTCACATGAAAAGATGCTCAACATTACTAATCATCAGAAAAATGCAAATCAAAACCACCTCACACTATTACAATGACTATCATCAAGAAGAGAAAAGCATTGGCAAAGATGTAGAAAAAAGGGAATCCTTGTATACTATTGATAGGAATTCAAACTGGCTCAGGTATGAGGGAAAACAGTATGATGGTGCCTCAAAAAAAAAATAAATAAACAGAACTACCATGAAACTTAGAAATTCCACTCATGTGTATAAACCCAAAAGAAATGAAAACAGGGTATCAAACAAATATAAGCCTCTCACTTTCACTTGAGCAATAGCCCAGATATGGAAACTACATGTCCATCAATGGATAAAGAGTATGGTTTATATAAACAATAGAATATTACTCAGTCAAGAGAAAAAAGAAAATCATGTTATTTGCAACAACAGATGGACTTTGTGAACATTACACTAAGTGAGATAGGTTAGAGAAAGACATACACTATATGATCTCACTTATATGTGAAATTAAAAAAAGCTAACTTCATAAAAAACACAGTAGGATGGTAGTTACCAGGGACTAGATGAGGAAATTGAGATGTTAGTACCAGTAGATCAGTGCACAGCATAGAATTACAGACAATACTGTATAATAAACTTCAAAGTTGTTAAGAAACTAGGTCTTAATTGTTGCAATACAAAAAGGAAGTCATAATTATATATTAGACAGAAAGATTAGATAATGCTACCCTGGTAATCACATTGCAATATATAAATGTATAAAATCAACAGTTTGTATACCTTAAGCTTACACAATGTAAGATATAAATTATATCTAAATAAAAATAGTTGTCAACTTTCAGCTTTAAACTAGAAGTATTTATCTATATTAATAACTTTCCGGGGGAAAAGGGCATTTATAAAATTTTCAAGTTTGGTATATCAAAACGCCTTTATTTCTATTTTCAGTATTTACTTTGGTACTTTTATGGTAACAAACCTATGACTCTTGAAACACTGCCTTTTGAGGGATAATAGTTACCTTAATTCAAAACACCCAAAGCTGGTTAGTCGGAGGGAAGCACTATATTGTTGTAAACCATAGAAAAGAATCATCATCTAGTGTTTTTATAATGAGAATCATAAAATTATCTGTAACTCAGTGGAAAAAACCCTGAAGGAATAAATTAGCCACTTTTCACAGTTCTTTAAATGCTTTTAGGAAACATCAAGAGATCAACACGTTAAACACATGAGCTATTAACCAAAGGGAAACTTATTTTCTATGATGCAACACTATGGCCACAATACCACTTCACAATCAAGGGAACTGAAACCCAGAAAGACCTAAACTCAGACCCTGGTCTAGCCTACTGAAGTACAGGTCAGGGTCAGTTTCCTCCCTTGTGGAATTAATGGAGTTAATCAAGTCAATGTTGGCTGAACGCCTACTATGTGTCAGCAATGGGAGTCTGTTGTTTGTCATTTGTTTTGAGTAAATAAAACCATGGTCAGTGTCCTTGCAAAACTCCTAATCTTGTGAAGAAACAAAGAAATGCAACATAACGGCTATGAACAAACTCCTATGGCTGGGAAAACTAAAAAAGGCTATAGAAGACAGACAATTAAGACTTGAAGAATAAATATGAGTTGCTTAGTATGAGATGGAAATAATTGGTATTCCACAAAGAAAGAACAGACTGTGTAAACACAGGAAAGAAAAAGGAGAGGCTTAATGCAATAAGTCGGCTAGGCATCAGGGAGATAAATTTAGAGTCTTATATGCCACATTAGGGAATGTGACCTTTAGTCTTTAAGGAATAGTTAGCAATTTAAACATTACCCATAATGTTCCTTCTACACCAAGACTCTGGAAACTAGCTGCAGGCCCTATCAAAGGAATACAATATGTCTATCATTACATTTAAAGTTGTTAGTCTTTTAAAGCAAAGAAGCTAAGTTTTGATACTGAGATGAAATTTAAAAGAACTCATGCTTTTAAATTATGGCAGAGTTCTACTATCATGGCGGATTTCTACTGTTATGATTATAGTATGAAAATATTCTACAGACAAGATACATCACAAGTGATTTTTGTTATTTATCAAATATTTATCAAATATTTATCAAATATTTTATTTATCAAATACCAAACTCTGTAAACCTATAGGTGTAAAAATTAGATACTAAATTTACATGCCCCACTACAGAAGTACATAAAGAGAATATAAAGTACCATTTACCTGTGTTCTGCAGGCACAGGGGGTGGCCAAACAGCAGGGTCTCTAAATGGTTCATCTTGACAGGACACAGGGAAATCTGGAGGTTTGTCGATTTTAAAACTTTCTAAAGTACTGACAATACTTTTAACTTGTTCATATTCTTCCAATAATTCCTGGCGAACCTTCAAAAAATAGATTTTATGCTAGAAACTTTAAAGCTTATATAAATTGGAAATAATAAATTGTGACAGAATGCAAGTTTGCTTAATATTGTTCAAAATATGCAAATGACATTGGAAAATATTCAAAAACCAAAGAGTTATTTAAAGTAATACAGATTGGAAAACAGGAACTGGCTTGAAAAAAAAAATATTTGTATACCTTCATTAGGGGAAGCACTTACATATCTTTCATAATGAAACCTATTTCTACCAAGGAATGTGATTACCATTAATATCACAAAAGGCAAACAACTAAATCAGTAACAATTTAACCATTCCCAGATATCTGTATTATGCTAGATTCTTTAAATATATTTGTAAGTAGCTCCCCAAAAATTCTCTGCCAAAATTTCCACCAGCATTTCTATACTCAGTGTCATTAAATATGAAATGCCTGTCTGATCACCTGAAAGCCTGAAGTGATATAATACTACAAATTACCCACTTCCAATTTTTATTTAAATTTTCCTTCACTTAAAATCTGAATTCTCTTGACCTTGTTTAAATACTTTCAAGCCGGGCCTCCCCGGTGGCACAGTGGTTGAGTGCTGGGTTGCGAAGCTGCCCACAGCCTCTGCAGCGCCAGTTTGATCCCCGCCGCCAGGCGAGGGTCCCACATGGCGCACAGACCTCTCCTGCCACCCAATGCTCCCCTCAGCAGTGTGTACTTTGTCACTCTGCCTGTTCTCTCCGCTCTGGTGAATTCTCTCACCTTCCCGCGCCTCTGACTGTACCCAGTGCTTGTATAAATAAATAAATAAATCTTTAAAAATAAATAAATACTTTCAAGCCTTGGATAAAGTTCATTTTGAGCTCAAAGGCAAGATTTTTCCTATATTTAAAAAACTTCAGGGGCCTAGGGGTTAAGTCTCAGTGCTATCACCACCACAGCCTGAGTTCGACAGGAGTCAGCTCCTGGGCAGGGAGCTAACCCACATATGATGAAGCGGACCTCTCCTGTCTTACCTGCTACTCCCCTTAGCAGTGTATTTCAGTAAATCTCCCAGTTCTGCTCCCCACTCTGGCTCTGATGAATCCTCTCAACCCCCGCACCCCAGTTCTTCTACACATAAATAAATATACCTAAGAAAAAAACTTTACTGAGTACCTACTCCAGAAATTCTTTTTTCTTCAAACTTTGAATCTAAACCAATTTTCAAAGACAAACAGATAATCGACTGAAACTTACATTAGTAAATTCATTTTACCGATTCTAGTATTTTCAAACCAGACAACACACTTTAAAGCAGAGCATAAGAAAATTTTCCTTAACTTTATCTTGAACATTATGCAGAAAGGAACACATAAAGGAGTTGTAGAAACAAAAAAAATTCTAAGTAAAATTCAACTGCTAATATATACAATTACATAGTAGGAGAAATGAAATTTCAGAGCCTAATGGAAAGAAACACAGGAGAAATATCTGAATGGAAATGGTCACTGTTTAACACAATTAAGACATGTCAAAAATAAAAAAAATAAAAAATAAATTAAAAAAAAGACATGTCAAAAATATTTCCATGCTAGATTAATAAAGCACTCTTGCCTGTGGCGAGTATGCAAGATAGAAAACAAGCAAAAATTTCAAGTATATTGTTCTCACTCAACATAATTTGGTAACACTTAAGTCAGAAAATAAGCCAAATTTACCCTGAAAACTTAGGGTAATCAATTTTTGACTAGTGGAAAAATTAGAAGAAACACTTAAAAGGCATTAGCACATAAAATGAAAACTTCAAAGAAATGCTTGACTTTGTACTTTTAATTTTAAAAAGATTTTAAGTTTTAAGAATAAGTGGGGAAATTTTAATTCAAGATTTTATTAACTGTACTATTATATAATCATGTTGTATAGTCAAGAGACAGAGCAAATATATTAGTGTTTTTTAAATTAGATTACCAACTTCTTTGTAAGGAGTCTTTCAAAATAAGAGGAAACTTTCTTAAAGTAAAAGCTTTATGAAATGGATCAAAACTACACATAAAAATGAAAGGGGAAAGGGCAAAGAGAAATACCTTATTTCAGAAATTTTCTATCACACACAATTAGGCAACTGATCTTGAAAAAAAATTAAAAGTAGATTTAATTATAATTAATCTTAATATTATCTCACGAAATAGTTCATCTAAAATATTAACCAGGTAAGACAGAAAATTACTTACAGTACATTTTAAGTGTACTTCAGTATTCAGACAGATTAAGAACTATTTACAAAATCTCAATCTAATTTTCCAACTCTAATCTTTCAAGTATAACAGACCACAGTACCCTCACTCACTGAATACTTAATGTGACCTCACCTGTTGCCATTTGCCTTTGACAGCTGGGTCTCTGACTGACTGACAATGTCTCTGAATCTGCTGTATTACTCCCTGATAATATACCATAGATGAATCATAATTTCCAAGAAGTGCATATTCTCTTCCTTTCTTTGCATTGTCACAAATCTCAGCCAAATTCATCTTCTTTCAGAGACCTAAACATAAAATATAATGCCTTTTTAAAATTTGCAGCCATGACTAAACATTTATTATTCTTTAAAATATCTGCTTAAAACTACCTAAAGTCAAAAAGTTTCTCTTATTCTTTGAGGTTACCTGAATGCATTGTATAATACAGAACAAAGTTTCTAATTGTGGAAGTACAAAGGAGATCACAAAACACCCATGGAGATAAGGAAGGAAATTACACAGCTCTGAACTATTGATTGATTTAATGTTACAGGCACATAAGTTGGACACTAGTTTTCCTGGATCATTTACAATTACCACAATCTGAAATAATAGTAAAGAACACCCTGTTTTATTTTACTCAATTGATTCATGATAATATAGGAATGAATATAAGATATCATATTATATTTTCCACTGATGCCAAGTAAGACTGCAGAAATTAGTACTCACTAAAACTTTTTGGCCCCAAGAACATAAATCATACTTTGGAATACATTTTGAAAAAATGACCTACATTAGTCCATACATCATTTATATGCAATAAATTGTCCCGTACAACTTAAATGTAAGCAATAACTTGAGCCCCCTTATACTCTTCTATGATCCTGTATTGTCCATAGCTTTCTGTCCGGCAAATAACTATCACTAATAATTTCCCTTCCACAAAATGTTAGGAAGGTATCAATTGAATCTCTGCTTTCCACCGAAGTCCTCTGATCCAGTAATTCTGGCTTTTTTTCTTCAGGCTGTGCAAAAGTCAGGATTATCTTCTATGGAAAGAGACTTTCCACTAGAAATTACAGAGCAGGAAATCCAGAGATACAGAAGAATGACATCCTGGGAAAGAATCCAAATTTTCCTACTCTGATTTCCTGGAACAATGAATCAATGGATAAATGCAATACAGAAAATCAAAGTATTTCCCCATGCCTTCCTGAAGGAATTAAATTTTGGGGTGTAGTTTGGTTCTTCCTCTCTGCCTCTTATCTACTACTAAGGAACTTAAAAACCCTTCCTCAAAATTAAGTGCATATAGTTCTAAGCATTTCAACTGACTTCAGTGGCAGTCATTAAAATAATGCTGTTTTCCTTTGTGTGTTTTGGCATATTATTTGCTCCTTCTCCCAGCGTAGGTTCTCTGAAGGCAGTGTATCTATACTAGAGAATCACTCCACAGGCTATTACATAAGTACTTACATAATGACACACAAAGATGTCCACAAATTTAATTATGAACATAGTAATATTTTATATTACAGTAAATAGCAGTTGAGTATAACATTTTATAAAACAGTTCTGCTAATAAGAATGGAACTCTATTTGGGTGATACTATTAGTTGGGATTCAATATTAGCATTCCCAAATCAACTGCAAAAATTTATATGTTAATGCTGTTCTTTAATAAGATTCTATATATTTCATCTTTGAAAATGTCTTTTTACCCAGATCGGCACTGTCACAGAGTGATATCGTATCAAATCATAGTGATATCAAATCTCAAGCATATGATTTCAATTCAGTATATTCACTGTTTGGAAGGCATTTGAAGAATATATTCTTCTTTTGATATTTTAGCATGTCATTTTAGTGCAAATTAATCACTTCAAATTGATGGTTAAGTGGAAATGCCTCAATTGCACAGTTAAGATTTTTTAATACAGACATTTCTTCTGCACTTGCATCAAAGTCTGAAAAAAGCCTCTGAAACTAAGTTGAGCTCAGAAAATATATCTATGCAAACATGGGTGGGAATGGAGAGCCTATATCTTCATTTTGACAGTATGGAAAGTTACATAAACAAATTGATAATCATTGCAATTCAAACATCATTACTTTTTAATAACATCTTGTAGTTCTCATAGTAGAGGTCTTTTTGCCTCTGTAGTTAATTTCAAGGTGTTTAATTTTTTGAAGCAATTATAAATCGAGTTATCTTCCTAATTTCTTTTGCTTCTTAGTTTGTATATTAAAAAGCTATGAAATTTTGTGGATTGATTTTGAAACCTGCCACAGCTATTATTCATCTTTTGTTTCGAACAACTTTTCGAAGTGTTCAGAATATTCTGTATATAGTATCACATTTTCTGCAAAGAGCATTTATTAAAAAAAAATCCAATCACAAGTGCTACAGTAGATGCAGAGAAAGAGGAATACTAGATACTGTTGGTGGGAATGTAAACTGGTGCAACCACTATGAAAAGCAATCTGGATTTATCTTTAAAAAGCTGTAAAAATGGGAATGCATGCAATCCCACTTCTGGACATCTATCCAAAGAATACAAAACTATGAAAGCAAAAATCTGTATGTTCTACAATGTTCATATAAGTTTTACTGACAATAGATAGCAAGTGAAAGCAGCCTAAATGTCCCTGAACAGACCACTGTGTCAACAAAGATGGGGTATATAGACACTATGGGAGACTAATGGCCATAAAAACAAATACTGTGTATTTACATAGCAGATGAAGTGAAATACTTACAAAAACTAGTGGAAGCATCAATAAACACCATGAGGGCACTGAGGTGAAGATGGAAGAACAGAAAAAGGGACACAGGATCATTAGAGATGGGGGGAAGAAAAAAAGAAAAAGCAATCAGTTGTTTTGTTCAAAATAACTTAAGTTTTACATATAAGCATTTGTCTTATAAATTTAAGTTGAATTCATTAAGAAATATTAAGTTGTTATAAAAAAAAATATTTCCAAACTATTCAGTGGTCAACAGTGGTTGAGAGCAGTTCCCCTCATTCAGAAAAATTTCACATCAGCCCTAAGCTCAGAAGATTGAAAGGTAGCTTTACTATTAAACCAATGAAGTACTCTGTGGCAGGACACTGCAGGATGTTCAGTTTCCATTTTCAACAAAAATTAATGGAACTGACAATGACTAAGTACATGCACAAGAACAAATATTGACACTATTAGTTGCATACCAGTGTAAATTAAAATATTCTCTGCAAAATACCTGCTGATAAATAATGAATAACCTTAAACACTTCACATTCTCAGTTTTGTAAATTTGCCCACCTAAATTTTTGCCGCCAGCAGCTGTAACATATGTTACCAGACTCCACTTCAGGTTGTACAAAATTATTTTCTAAATTTTTTTGTAAATGTTCTTGTCTGTAGTTATTTCATGAACACTATTCATTAAAACTAATTCAGGAACTTCAAACTCAGCACTGACTTCTCAAATAACAACTGAGCAGTATTGGTAACATCTGTCAATTCATCAAGAGCCAAGGAAAACCACTCAAAATCATTTGCTGTCTTTTTTAATTGATTATTGATGTCCTCACCTCTTCCAGCAACTGTTCTTGCTAAAAAGCTATTAGTCTTAAACAAGTTTGTTTACTCCAGACACATCTCCTTGGTTGCTACAATTGAACACCAGTTGTTAGTAATTCACCGGAAAGTTAGTTAATGACCTCCCTGCTTGCCTAACAAATAAGACACTCAGAAACTTAATCTGGGTGCAGTCTGATTTTCATTTTTTAATGTTGTGAAGAAATTCTTCTGTGAGAAAATATTCCTTTTTAAGTGTTCTATTTTTTTTCTGACCATTGCGTTCCTGTGCATTGGGAATATTGTGATGAGTGATTAACCTGCTAATGTCAGTTATGTTGCATATCTTTAGTGCAGCTCTAGTGTCACTCCATAATAAACACAATGCTTTGCCATCTAATGCAATAATCCACACTTCACTGCTTTAAAAATGTAACATGTCAGGGGACTTCCTGGTGGCACAAGGGGTTAAGACATAACCTACGAAGCTGGCTGTAGCCACTGCAGCACAAGTTCGATCCCCAGCCAGGGAGATACCCACATGGCACAAGAAACCTCTCCTGACTCACCTGCTGCTCCCCTCAGCAGTGTATTTCAGTCAGTCTGCTTGTTCTCTTCCCCACTCTGTCTCTGGTGAATTCCCTCACCCTCCACACCTCTGGCCTGTATTCCAGTTGTTGTATGCACAAATAAATCTTTAAAAAATAAATAAGGGCCTCCCCTGGTGGTGCAGCGGTTGAGCGCTGGGCTGCGAAGTCGCCTGCAGCCTCTGCAGCAACGGTTCGAGGGTCCCACATGGCGCAGCAGACCTCTCCTGCCGCGCCCGCTGATCCCCTTAGCAGTGTGCTTAATCAGTCTGCCTGTTCTATTCCCCACTGTCTCTGGTGAATCCTCTCATCCTCCTGCGCTTCTGACTGTACCCAGTGCTTGTATAAATAAAGAAATAAATCTTAAAAAAAAAAAGTTTAAAAAAATAAAAATAAAAAATAAAAGTATAACATGTCAAGTCCATTTTTCTCATCTTTTATTGTTTGACATGATGGGTATGTGCTGATAATTAAAGTACAAAGTCAGAGGATACAATGATAGCCATGACATTGGAAACACTGTGGCTACAGTGCACCAAGATGAAGTGCACAGCAGTAAGAATCCACACAATCTGTAACTACTATTGGACTCTGCCATTCTAGCACAAAAGCAGAGACAAAATGTTAAAAAAAAAAAAGAATATGCCTATATCCCAATAAAACTTTTATTTATGAATAATGATATCTGAATTTAATTTCCACATTTCAAAAAACGGTAGTCTTCATTTAACTTTTTTCAACCATTAAAAATTGGGCCTCCCCCGGTGGCACAGCGGTTAAACGCTGGGCTGCCAAGCTGCCCGCAGCCTCTGCAGCACCGGTTCAACCTGGCCGCTGGCGAGGGTCCCCCAAGGCGCGCAGACCTCTCCTGCCGTGCCCGCTGCTCCCCTCAGCAGTGTATTTCGTCGTTCTGTCAGACTGTTCTCTTCCCGGCTCTGGCTCTCGTGAATTCTCTCACCCTCCCGCGTCTCTGACTGTACCCAGTGCTTGTATAAAATAAATAAATAAATCTTTTAAAAAAAAAAAAAAAAAGGTAAAAACCATTCTTCCTGGGCCATTCAAACACAGGTTGGCAGGCAGGATTTGGCCCTCAGATTATAGTCTGCTGACTCCTGCTTTCAGCATCTACCTGGGGGGAAAAAAAGTAAAATAAACCCCATAGAAATAGAAGGAAGAAAATAATAAAGTTTTAAAAAAAAATTAATAAAATAGAAACAGAAAAATATAAAACTTCAATGTTGCCAAAAACTGTCTAGAAAGATCATTAAAACAGACACACTAACAAAACCAGACATTATTAAAAAAAAAAAATTATAAACAAGTATCACTTAAGAACACAGACCCAAAAAAATACTTAAATTTTAGCTAATCAAATTCAATAATATATAAAAAGATAATGCATTATGACCAAGTGGGGTTTATACCAAAAATTCAAGGTTGTTTATATAAATGTAAGTATACATAATTTTTAAGAGACTAGAACCTAGACATCTCATAATCATCTTAACAGATGCAGAAAAAGCATTTCACAAAATTCATGATTAAGAACTCTGAACTAAGAGAATTTTCTCAATTTCATAATGGACATCTATGAAATACTTAACAGTTAACATACTTATTGTGACATACTGAATGTTCTCTCTCAAAATCAAGAAAGGAAAGACAAGTATCTTTTATCCCCTTCTACTTAACATTAGAAGTAGGGGTTCCAAGGAGTAGGAAGAGCACAAGGGACTATGGGACTATGATGATGGGACACGGGTGAATTGGTGGTGGGGACTACACCTGAGAGGAGAAAGCATACATTGTACAAGAACAGTGTAAAATATATAGAAAATTTAAAGAAAATTTTAAATTAGAAAAAAAAGAAGTAGGGGTTCTAACCAGTGGGCGGGACGGGTGGGGGGGGTAAGGGGGGGAGAAACAAGAAAAGAATAAAAGTATCCAGATTGGAAAAGAAGTAAAATTGCTTTAATTTACATATAACATGACTGTTAAAGTAGAAAGTCCTAGGAAACCTACAATAGCTACTAGATGAGTTTTTTTTTTAAAGATTTAATTTATGCATACAAGAACTAGGGTACAAGCCAGAGGTGCAGGGGGTGAGAGGATTCACCAGAGACAGAGTGGGGAACAGAAAAGGAAGATAACTGAAATACATTTCTGAGGGGAGCAGCAGTCGAGACAGGAGAGGTCTGCCTCACCATGTGGATTTCTCCCCGGCTGGACTGGGGATCAATCTGCAGAGGCTGCAGATTGCTTCATAGTGCAGTACTTAACCCCTTGAGCCACCAGGGAGGCCCTAGATGAGTTTTAAAAGATTGCAGGATAAAGTCAATATACAAAACAACTTTATCTCAGCATATTAAATAACTGAAAACTGAAAGTGAAACAATGACATGGTTCAGGAATATAATACTCAGATAAATCTAACAAAAAATATGCAAAATCTGAACACTGAAAACTACCAAAAACTAAAAGGGCATTTCCATCAACCCAGAAAATTCCCTCTTGCCACACTACAATCAATCCCAAATCCAAGCACGCAGTCTCACTTATCGTAGTAGTTTTTCTAGAAAATGACATAAATAGAATCATAGGATATGTATTCTGAGTTGACTTGTTTCAACATTATCAGGGTACAAGTCAGGCCACAGGAACAAGAGAGTGATGCACCACCTGCTTTCCAGGTTATATAGGTCCACCTAGCCACTCAGCACCAGCCCCAGTTCCCAGTAGTTCCCCTGCTCAGGAAGTCTGGTTCATGGCATAAGGGATTTGTAATCCAAGGTAGTTGCATGTAAGGTGGGGAAAATGGTACCAGTCTGTTTCTTCAACAGTTTGAAACAAATTTTTTCTCATAAAACACAGTAAGTCAACTGTCCCTGTTTTCATTACCAATTCATACACTGTATCATTACTTTAATTACACTATATCATAACTTTAATTACTTATAACATAATCTTATACAGATGGATTTTTTTTAATCTCCTGTAAAATAGAATTAGCCCCTCATTGCAACAGGTGAGGCAACCAATTATGTTATTTGGTTGGTATAGTTCACACCTTCTCTTATGTCTCGGGCCTCCCCGATGGCGAAGCGGTTGAGCACTGGGCTGCAAAGCTGCCCACAGCCTCCGCAGTGCCGGTTCGATCCCTGGCTGCCAGTGAGGGTCCCACATGGCGCGCAGACCTCTCCTGCCATCCACTGCTCCCCTCAGCAGTGTGCTTCGTCAGTCTGCTTGTTCTGCTCCCCACTCTGGCTCTGGTGAATTCTCTCACCCTCCCGCGCTTCGGACTGTACCCAGTGCTTGTATAAATAAATAAATAAATCTTCAAAAAAAGAGAAAAAAGAGGAGTTATGTCTCTCCCCAAAGGGTCAAATAAATAAATAAATAAAACCGGATGCGCCTGCACAGCCAGAAGAATTAGTTTCACATTTATCCTCTCAATTTGTCTTCTCAACTCCTGCTTTAAGGACCAGGCAGAAAAGCACATCTAATACATCCAAACTTGTAGATGAACTGGAAGATGATGCTCAATCAATAGAAACCAGGGAAAAGCAAAAAACAAAAAGAATCAGGACTGCAAAAACAAAACAAGCAAGGAAAAACACTGAAAAAGAAAGTTCTTGGACACCTCCTCC